CATCCCTGGCAAAATACTAAATCTGAGTCAGTTTGAATCCCCAGTGTTCTCCATCAAATCTGTGACTTTCAAGTGAGGTGAAGAGCCCCCATCTGATCTCGAGGGGGACTGCATCCTTAGAACTACACTGCAAGACCAGCTCTTTGTCCTTGTTTAATTTTACCTTAATAAATACAGAACCATGGAGGAATCAGCCAGTCAAGATATTTGCAAGCCTGGAGTTGTCCTTCCTTGCCATACTGGTCTAAGTTCAGCCCAAAGCTCATTCTTTTGCATGGAGAAGTGGAGTTCCAAGCACTTCTTCATTTCTCCCTTATGCCCCCCTATGTCCACCTGTGCCTACCTTCTCTTACCTCAGAACCCTGCTAAAGTGGTCCAGTTTTGCTTTCTTGAGCAAACTGGAGTTTTCATGAACCTGTCCCCTCTCCAGATCCCCTTCTACATCTCAGCTTAAGGCCATGCATGTCTTTGAACCCTGTATTTCAGCTGCAAGGACCCGGCATGCTGCATGTCTTGTGGGGGCAGTGGGGGTGGTGGTGCTGGGGAGGCGCATGTGTTAAATAAATGTATGGAGATGACCACTCTCACTCTGATCCAGTGGGTATCCCAGGAGTGTAAATGGCACCTCAGAAGATTTTTGCCACCTAGTGGTTCCCACTGGCCAAAGAGAATGTCCTCCAGAGAAGGGTACAGGTGAAGGGTACAGGCAGCACCCTCAGAGCTGGGGGCTGGGTGTACCTGCCAGGTAGAGGGCGGGATGGGCTATCTACAGCATCTGCTCACACACATCTGCCCTGCAGAATTGTTAGGAGGGTGAAACCAGCATGTTGAAGATACCAAGCATCGTACCCAACAGTGTTTAACTGTGATTTCTGTCATTTTCACTGTTTCTTCAAAACCCAGCACAAATTCCACCCCAGAAGTCTCCATCAACGGCTCTCTGGAGACTGAATTGTTCCTTCTTGAGGTTGCTTCAGCACTTAGTGTTTTTTTTCCTTTTCATTTAAGTTTTAAATTTGCACAAGTAGGACTTGCCTCCATCATTACTGTAAAAGACCCTCACAGCATCTGAAATGTGTAGAGGAGGACATCCCCCCCCGCCGCCCCATGTCCTAGCAGGATAAAGCCCTGTGAAATCTTTATGGGTGGCACTTTTACCTTGGCTATGTATATGGGTTGTGTTTTTCTAAGAAATGTCTGCTTAGTGTGTGAGCCGAACTTTCTAGATCGTAGGATGGGGTGGAGTGAGGTGTCAGATACACCTGTCCAGCCTCCTCCTGGAGATTCCCATAAGGAGACCTGCCTCAGGCTCAGGGATCTCTTCACAGGTCCTGGTAACAGGTAAGTTGGTAAAAATCTATCTTAGAGCATATTTTTTTTCAGTTGTAGTTGGACACACTACCTTTATTATTGTTTGTTTATTTTATGTGGTGCTGAGGATCGAACCCAGTGCCTTTCATGTTTTAGGCGACTGCCCTACCGCTGACCACAACCTCAGCCCCTGAGAGCATGCTTTTAAAGGTGGCTTCCATCTAATGAATGTCTATTTCACTAATTTATTTAGATGTCTCCTTTTTTGTTGTGAATAAGATTATTGTGTTGTGCACGGGCACTTACTTTCAGTTTGACTAAATTAGCAACACGACGTCATTGTGGGAAGCAAAAAAATTTACAAAGGAACCCTTAATCCCAGAACGTCAGAACTAGATTTGAGGGGCTTCCAAGGAGCCCTGTGCTTGTCTTCTGACTCTGTCCCTGATATTGCACAACCATCCTTAGTTTTGCTCTTAAATATTTCTGGCTCCTGCCTTGCTCACAGGATGACACTAGGGACCCAGCTTCTCTCTCTTCTTATGAACTCGGGGACGACATGCGCCCTGGCTCGCCAAGTGCCAGCCACTTCCCCATCTCTTCTTCCTCATCCAGCAGAGAGAAGCGGCCATCTCCTTTGGCATTTGCTGCCAGTTTCATCTCTCAAGAAGTCTTCAAATTTTAAGAGTCTGTCAAGGTCCTATTTTTAGTGGAGTAAGACTTCTCCTGGGTGTCCAGATTGGCGACGCTTCCTCTCCGCCAGATGGGCTTCTGAGTTGTGAGTGCAGCCTCCTGTGTCCTCAGCTCTCACACACTGGTCACCTCAAGTAACCTTTGCCACATGGGAGTAGGTCTACACCCTCCCTTGCCCCACTGCCTGGCAGTTGTCAGATGAGGAAAGAGGCTCAGTGAGGACAGGGGACTTGTCTAAGTTTCCAAGTGCAGCAGGGACAGAGCAGGCCGTCTGCTCTAATCCTTACCTGCTTATCCTTCCCCATCCCGCCATCTGTACTGAGGCGCCTCTTTCATTCCATTCCCCTGGTCTGCAGTGTCTCTGAGATGGAGATGACCACAGTCTTCCAGGGAGAGAAGAGGGTGTCTGTGTGTGTGTGTCCCGGGGAGACAACAAATAGCACTGATTGTCCACCTACTGACCTAGAGGTCATAAACTGCTAGCCTGATGGCCAAAAGCTGACCATAGTTACGTTGTGTTTGGCCTTAAGAGTTTAAAATTTTTTAAGTTAATTGATGACATTGAAAAATCAAGAATGTTCACATAAAAATTCAGACGTCCACCTTCTCCTGAAAACACAAAACTGGCAATCTGGTTGACTTTGTATGGCCACAGTCGAACCGTGCTGAGTAGTAGCTGTACCCATTCCACTGGGTGATGCCACAGACCCCATCAGGCCTTATTACCTTCCAACACAGAGCCACTGTCAGCTGCTATTTGTCACCTCACATACATTGTTGCTTTTCTCTTATTGGTAGATTCCAGAAAAGAGAGCCATAAGCCAGAGCAAAACCACCTTGCTTGGTATTGCATAGTCCTTACAGGCATTTGATAATCCTCGCTGTCCCCCAAGTCCTTACCCAATCATCTTTGAAAACCCCCGCTGCCTTAGCACATAATAGGTGTTCACAAGCAACTGTAGCGATCGTTTATTAAATGCTTGTCATAGCCAAATGAAGCTATGCAATTGGTCAGCCTTTTAACAGATGCACCAGTAAGCTCAGAGAGGTTGAGGCCATGCCCAAAGTCAAACAGCTAATGAATTTTGTCACTGGTACTTTTATGATGCCACTCACTTCTGCACTGAGATTCCTCTTGTTTTGTGGCTTTTGCTGCATATTCCTTTTTGCCTTTTCAACTTGTTTTCTGGTTTCTAAAGTTTTCATAGGAAGAGATCACTACTAAGATCAAGCCTTAGCAGCATGACTAGGCAGACACTGATTGAAAGAGAGGAAAGACATCTTCATTGAAGGATGACATGCACAGTGCTTTGTGCATATGGGGAAGGACATTGTTAATCAAGGTAGAAAAGGCCATGGAAAGGCCTGGAATGACATTCTGAGGCTATGAGACTTCTGAGGACATTGGGGAGCCCTGAAAGGTTTTAAAGCAGGACCGGGCATAATCCACATCTGGCTTCATGTGGCAGCAGAAGGGAGGTTGAGAGCATATCACTGTGAGAATCTGAAACGTGTTGAGCTCTTCAACAGACAAGAGAGCAGACTGATGGGGAGACTGTGGAGGCCCCCTCTGTGAAGGCCTGGTGGGAATGGCTAGTGCTGGCCATCAGGAGGCACTGCAGTGTCATTTACTGGGATAGCAAGGTGGGAGGAGATGTGGGTTGGTGGGGCATCTATGGAGGAACGTCCTCTGGATGCTCCTGGATATAGCAGGAGATGCAAGTGCCACGTGCCAAGCCGAATGTGGAACAGTGAGAAGGCAATGCTCTGAGCCAAGAAGAGCCAGGAGACACCTCCGCTCACATTTGTGGGATTTCCTTCTGGTCACTGGCCTCTCAGGCTGCCTCTGTTTCCTCTTAAACTTAAGTCCCCAATAGTGAATAACCTCTGTCCCATCCTAGGACTGTAGAGGGCAGGCCATGGTCAATGTGGGTGCTGTGAATGGTGGCAAGATCCCAGCCATTCTCAGGAAGCAGGCGTTGGAGATACCCAGAACCCAGGGTCTCCCCAAGGCCCTCACTCATTAAGTCAAGACCAGAGGAGGGCAGTTACCATGGTCTAGTTCTTCCTACTCCACTCCCACCTGGTGGGGGCCCATCTTCTCCTTTCTCCTTGTGAGCAGTGCATTTGGCTTTTTATAAAGCCAATAAATAAATAAGCAAGTGGGCATGATTAATTGATGCCATGGAGCAGACCCAGGCGATGGGAGTCAGGTGGCCCTCCAGGCTTCCTGGTGGAGCTCCGCTTTTCAGCTACTGGGGCCTGCGCCAAGGAGGGGAAGCCTGCCTTGGGGAGGTGCTTTCCGTGTGTGCCTGGGGTTTTCGACTTTTTCTGCAGGCAGGCTGGGGCCTCTGTCCTAGACTTCTCAGGCCCTAGCCAGGGCCAGGCAGGAGGCTGGGCCAGCCAGTACCTTAGTTCCCTCCCTGATCCTTTCCCGAGGGTCTAAGAGCCCTTGGGCTAAACTCCATAGGAGTGGTCCCCAGCTCCCTGATCCTGAGCTCGCCTCCCTCTATGTCAACTCCGCATCCCTGTTCACTCCACCCCGTGTGACCGGTCCACAGGTTTTAGTGTGCCAGGGAGCCTTGGGGCACTGTGACCCACGGAGAAGAGTGGGGAGGGGTGCCTTCAAGGGCCAGGCTGCGGATGGGGGTGGGGTGAGTAAGGGGCTGGTGCTGATGAAGGTACCTGGAGATGGCGCCCCAGGGAGAAGCTGGAGACCCTTCTCCAGACGCCCTTACGCGTGCTTGGAGGGGGCGCGGATGGGATGGGATGGTGCGCTCTGGATCCAGGGGGGCGCTGTCCGTGCAGAGTTTGGGGAGGGCCTGAGGGGAGCGCGCGGGGGCGGAGGGAGCGGGGAGGAGGGAGGAGGGAGGGAGGCGGGCAGAGCGCAGTGCAGCGGTGGCAGAGGCGGCAGAGGGAAGGAGGCAGGCGGGCGGCGGCGGGGCCGCGGGGCGAGGCGAGCGCGGGGCAGCCGCGGCCGAGGAGCCACAGCCGCAGCGGGGCCGGGCCGGGCCGGGCGCGCACCAGTGGCGGCGGCAGCGGCAGCGGCAGCGAAGGCGGCAGCATCTCGCTCCCGGAGCCAGCGCAGGTGAGGCAGGGGCGGCCGGCCCGGGGCTCTGGGCCTCTTCCCTGCTCCCTCGGTCTCTACCTCCTTCCCGGTTGGCTTCTCTTTCTTGGGCGCTCGTCCTGGGGACCCCCCCACCGGGCAAGAGTCTGAGCCCTAACCAAAGCAGGTCCTGGGTCCCCTCTTTCCGAGGAGGCAGGCGCCTTGTCAGCAGTGACCTTGAGCGGGCACCAAGAGGCGGGCGGGGCGGGCGGGGGTGGGCGCCTGCAGACCCGCCTGCTACGGCCGGCCGGGGAGGGGGCAAGCCTTGAGCCTATGGCGCGCAAACTTTCTGGGCTGAGCAGCTGCGCTGAACTTGGGGGTGGGGGTCGTCCGAGGTGCTAGAAGCCCCCAAATTTCCTCCTTCCCTGCTGCCTTTGATTTCTTTACCTGGCTCCCCTTTAGTGTTGGGGGACCTCCTTTCTTCTGGCTATTTCCCTTGGATTAGGGACATGTCCAGAGCTATGAACATTGACTCTGGGCTGGGGTCTTCTCTCCTCCACAAAAGTGGTTTCCAGCTTCTAAGAGCAGAGGTGGTGGAGGACCCAGTGCAAAGTGCTTTTCGCATCTCTGGCCTCACCACCTTTTCCAGGTATCCCCCATCCTGTCCACAGCCCTTCCCTAAACACATGCCACTCCTTCACAGGGAGCTCAGAAGCCCCTCCTCAGTAAGTAGAGCTTTCAGATCCGCAATGTCATGTTTTTCAGGCAGGTGTCAAAGACTCCCCGGGAAAGGGGACTTGGGCAGGAATGCTTCATGCATTCACCGGTGGACCACTAAGTTCTTGAACACTTGGATTCACCCAAGGCCTGATCATCCCGGCTGCCCTGTGGCCTCGGGAGAAAGGGACATCCTGGTGGTCAGGGATGTCCTAGCTCTAGAAACAGCCTCCTGGAACATTATCCTCAGAAAAGGGACATCAGGCCCAGAGAGGGTGAGCTAGCCTCAAGGTCACACAGTCAGAGGAACAGGGAAAACAGGGCTTTCTTAGGATGGGTTAAGATAAATTGGTGAAGACTCCTGTTTGGTTTCTACACCTGAGGGGTTTGGGCTCTAGGACTCTTGTCTTTTACTTGCTGTGTGACTTCCTCTTTCTGACTTCGTTTCCCCCTCATGTGAAACAGGAGAAGCCACTTCATAGGGCTTTTCTGGTGGTTGAAGGAGTGAATGTTCCTAAACTTCTTACCATCATGCTTAATGCATGGTCTGTGGCCAGAATATTTTGGCTACCTGCTTGTGAGTTTCCTTTCTGAGCCTGGAAGGGAGGGCAGAAAGGGTTAATCATTCCCATTCTCTTCCTTCTGCTTCTGGCACCTAGATTAGGTGGGTTCTCCCCTGTGGTGGTGTGGGGTGGTGAGGGCAGCCCTGGCTGGAACCTGTGCCTCTACATAGAATGTTCAGTGGAGACCAGAGCCAGCACCCTCAGGAACCCACTGTACCTGGCTGCGTGGGCCAACTCTGGGCTATGCTCTCCTGTTGCTTCCACAGGGAAATCAATACCTTATTTCTAATCGGGAAATGAAAACAGGGCCCTGCTGCAGCCCCAGGAAGACACCCTCTTGCCACACAGTCTGGTGGGAGCAGCATGCCCTCCTGGCACCAGAGGTGGGGAATGGGGCTTCTTCACTCGCTCACTCACCAAACCTTGATTCTTGCCTTCTCTAAGTGAAAAAGTACTTGTAAATAACTCAGAGGTCAACTATAACTAGCAATAAAGTTCCTACCAGATTCAAGGCATTTGCTAGGCACTGAAGATACATTCATTCATGTGACACTTTTGCAGTATATACCTACTATGTGCTAAGCACTGTTTGATATACCAGAAACACCTGGGTAAGTAAAACAGACCCAAGTTCCAGTCAGGTAGCCTGGCTACATAAATTATCACCCAAACTGAGACACTTCTGAGAGGAAGAGGGGCATGACTGATAACAGCACCAGGACCACAGGCATAAATGGAAAGGGTCAGTCACACTGGGATACATGGCCACCCTGTAACTTTGTGGAGTTTATAGGCCCGTGTCTGAGAGAGCTGTTAATATTTTTTGAGGACTTGCTTTTTGCCAGGCTCTGTGGCTAAGCACGCTTGGGTTGTCAACTGATTTAATCTGCACAAGGCTGCATGTGAAGTTGGCATTACCATGTACATGCCCCTGGTGGTTGTGGTGCTGGGACCACTTCTACTACTTAACTGATGGACTGCAGAGCCTCCCAAAGATGGTGACACCAGAGCCCAGGGTGCTCATAGTCCTCTCAAAGAGGCCCGCGGATGACTTGTAGCCAGTAGCGCAAATGCTATAATTGATGTGGTTTGGAAGCAGACAGGGAGACAGATTCTGCCTGGAAAAATCAGACAGCTTCATGGAGGAGGGGACTTTCCTTTATGCTGGACCTTGAAACATAAATTAGGAGTTTGATAGATTGTGGAGGTCGGAGTTCGGGGATGGCAGTGGTAGAGGGTTTGAATAATTCCAGGCCCAGGTTGCTAAAGCTTAGAGGTGTGAGCTATGCAGACTGTTTGGGGATACCACTCCCCAAATAGGTCCAGATCCAGTTGCGACAGGACAAGTGTTAGCTCTGAAACACTACAAGCCAGCAGAGTTTAAGTCCAAGCATGGCGTGTGGTGGCAAGGGAGACCTTCTGAATTTTAGGATGCTCTGGAGTCTTAACGATTCAGTAGGAAGGGAGCAAGAGAGAGAATTTGTCATACAGAATTTTCTGTTTGACTTTTCCATGATCCAATCTATACTATGAACTGCCTGCAAGGTCATGGAAGTCATTTTGTTATACAGAATCAGTGCAGATGAATTTTATCAGCCCGTAGCAGCAAAGGGGTTTCACCAAGCAAACTGATTGCCCAGAAGAGAAATATTAACTTAGTTGAGGGAGAGAGGTTTTAGCTGTATCACTTGCAAATAAGAAATATTCTCATTATAAATTAAATCTTTTCCATTTGTTAAATCACATACCAGAAAAATCTAACTTCCACCTCCCTCCCCTCCTCTTTGTGTCACCTCTCTGTTGCCATATAAATCTGAGAGCAATAAAACTGCATTTCTTTAGTAATGACTTATTTATCAGACTTCTTATTAATTTAGATTGGCCTCCTTTCCTCCCTCCCGAATTAAGTGGAATCATTAAAGTTTGATAGATCTAAAAATTTGAATCTAGTAACAAAGAACAAAGAGGGGGTGATTAACTTTTAGGGCCTGGGATTGGAAAGTCAGGCTAGAAAGATTTGGGAAGCAAAAGAGAAGTTGATGGAAAGGAAGAGAGGAGGAGAGAGCAGGGCCAGTTTTGTGAGAGTGACGTGGAGGGGGCGGGTGGCACTGAGAAGGATCCTTGCACTTGACTTAATGCTCTCCAATCATCATGTTCCAAATCTCAGTCATTTTTGAGATTTTTCAGTTTACACTGGTTCCTACATTAGGTAACTTATCTAGGGAGGAAGAAAGTTGAGGGCCAGAAGATGTAGAAAGAGCGGGGAAAGATAGAGATAGGAGAAAAAGAAAAGAAAGTACATTTTAAAAGGCTCAGCTATGGCTGGGGTGTAGCACTGCAAAAAATAAATTAAAAAAATGAATTTTAAAAAATTAAAAAATAAATAGAAGTCCTTCCCTATGCCAGATGCTGTATGAGACTGTATGCTGTTTATCTATCTTAATCTTCATAGCAATCATGAGAGAGGTAATCTTATCCCTGTTTTAAAATGTAGGTTTATTATTATTCAGGTGTGGTAAGGCCAACAGACCAGGAGACAGCTGCCATAGAAAAGACAGTTACAGTTCCCAAGAGGAGAGGGTATGCCACACCAGGCAGGGCCTACGGAAGCCCCCAGGGGCAGTCAGGAAGCAGAGGGAGCAAGTGGAAAGGGCGCAGGAGTCTTTGTTGTGGTTTCTTTGGGAAGACACAGGTGGGGCAGGGGAAGCCGTTTGGCTCATTTCAGCAGACTCTGGGGCATAATGGCTGTCCCTAGTTATCTGGTACCAAATCTGGGATGATTAAGGCAGGGAAGTAGTGGCCCAGAATGCCTGAGTTCCATAAAGGAGGTGCCTGGGAGCGTGGGCTTCCGATTGGTGGCTTGCATGTGAAAGGCACACTTTCATAGGTGAGTCTTTTACTCTTTCTAGAAACTGAGTATCCCTGGGGTGGGGAGTCCCTCCAGGGTCAGCAAGGCCTCAAGATGTCAAGTGTCAAATTCAGAAACTGAAAAACAGTTATTACAATTCCCTGTTTTATAAATGAGGAAACTGAGACTCAAAGAGATTTAAGTTTAGAGTTCAGACCCAAATCACTTGACTGGTGAGGTGATGCTGGGTTGAAAGGTATGTGCGCTTTCAGACTTCACAGAAATGGGAAGGGTCCGGATTGTGCATGAGCCGCCCTCATAACTATAATCTCTCCTCTACACACCTACAGCAAGTTGAGGGATGGAAAGTGGAGGAAGAAAACACAACTGACCCTCCCTGTCCACAGGTTCCACATCTGTGGATTTGAGCAACCACAGATGGAAACTGGAAAAAAATTATGTTTGCATTGAACCTGTATAAATTTTGTTCCTTATTATTATTCTCTAAACAATACAGCATGATAACTTACTTAAGCATTTACATTGTATTAGTATGGTCTGGAGATGGTTTAAAGTATGTGGGAAGGTCAGTGTAAATACTACACAATGTCATGTGAGGGAGCTTGAGCATCTGTGGATTTTGGCATGGGGAAGTGTCCTAGAACCAATGTACTGAGGATACCAAAGGATGAATGCATAATTTTTCTTCCAGAGACAAAGAGGTGAAGTTAGTGGTCAAGGCTTCAAGTTTGGGAGAGGTATCAAATGGGGGCCTTCCAGGTGACCTCCAAGAGGGTGTCCACATGGAGGTCCTGTCCTGCCCAGATAAACCTTCAGGGAGAGAGGCAGAACAGAGGACATGCTTATGGTCCAGGAAGCTTCCTCCCAACAGGAAGAATGGCAGTTCTGATAAC